GCTGCTGCTGCTCCCCCCCCGGCCCGGTCTCCCTGGCTCGGCGCCGCTTTCTGCAGCCTCCCGCGCTCGCTCGCTCGCTCGCTCGCTCCCTCTCTCCCCTCCCGCGCAGCGCCGAGCGCGAGCTCCAGCCACCGAAATATGATAATAAGAACAGCTGCTTCTGTGTTCCGGGCCGGCCAATCAGAGGCGAGCAGGTTTGACGTCCCCGCGGCCGACGCCGACCAATGGCGAGCCGGCGGAGTTGGAGCAGAGAAGTTTGAGTAAGAGATAAGGAAGAGGCTGGCGGCCGCGGCGCGCGGAGTCCCCCACACCGTGCCGCGCTTGCTTGGCTCGCCCCGGCGGGTGTGCGCGGGTGCTTCGTTTTCGCCGCCCTGATTCCAGCGAGGAGGGGGAACTGCAGGTGGGATCCGGCCCGCTGGACTGCTTCTCCGAGCCACCGAGCAAGCGGCACCCTTCCCCTGCCCTTGACAGCAGCATCTCTCCCTTTTAAAGAAGCAGCAGCCTACACACACACATATATGTATTTTTCCCTTTGGGGGAAGCGCCTTTGAAACCCTGCACCATTTCACTGTGGACCATATATCCTCTTGCGGCTATGGGAGACATGGGAGACCCACCGAAAAGTAAGGACGAGATTTTTCGGGTTTTATCAGTAGTAATAGAATCTCTTTAAAAAAGAAAATTGTTCCAAATCCTGGCTCGGCTGGGAGAGACCGAGGAGGTAGGCGACTTTTGCGTGCACCCACCCCACACCCGCGAGCTTCTGGTGCTGTGGGGTCCCCGCTACGGTTGCTTTGGTGTAAAATTCGGGAGAGGTTTCGGACGAGGAGAAGGTGAGGGTAGGCGAAAGGGGATCAGACGTCAAAATTGGGTGGCGGAGGAGGGGGGGAACCGATCTGTGCCAAGAGCCTGCAAATATTTTGCTGCAAGTAAGTTGCCTTGCAAAAGCACTCAGTTTTCCCCCTCAACGTAATAAAGTTCCCAGTCTTGGGGTGCAGTAGGCTGGGCATCGCTTTCCACGGCCACCCTTGGGCTGTGAATAACCGCGCTTCTTGGAAAAATTGAACAATTGCTGTGAAACGCAACGGGCTTTCCTTCCAAGCAAATCGGCTTCGGATCCCGGAATGCGCTGCCTTTCACCGCTCCGGGTGACCCGAGGGATAGACGGCCTGCTGGGCGGAGATCAGCCGGCCCTCTGGCCGAAGCGAGTGAAATTGACAGAAATGAATGAAACTGACAAATCGAGAGACCCGGAAGGTTCCCCGGCGAAATGGAAGCGCAGGCTTCTTAAAAGCCTGCCTGTGCGCTCTGTCTCTCTCTCCCCCCCCAGTCTTTTCGGTTCAAAGTCTTGAGTTAGAGAACTAGCCAAAATAAGGCTTCGACTGTCCCCCCCCCTCAAAAAATCAAAAGGGATTGTTTTGATTGCGTGGGAGGCGTGTGAAATCTGCACGTTCTAGTTTATGCCTATCTGCGTTTGAATTTACGTTCCGCCTCCTTTCTAAATGAGGAAAGTCTTTGATGGCACACTCCAATTACCTTTCTAAATGCTGCTCGCTCTGTCCCCCCCCTCTCTCACTCACACACACACGGACACTTCCCCCCCCCCAACACAGCAACAACAACAACAGCAGCCAACGCGCTCCCAAAGATTAGCATCCCTACCGCGGGTGATCGACACTAATAAAGTGTGTTTATCGCCGTAGGAGAGCAACCGGTTAGTCAATCATGTCTTTTATTATTTGCCTTTCAGAAAAACGCCTGATTTCCCTATGCGTCGGTTGCGGCAATCAAATCCACGATCAGTATATTCTGCGAGTTTCTCCGGATTTGGAATGGCACGCGGCGTGTTTGAAGTGCGCGGAATGTAATCAGTATTTGGACGAGACGTGTACGTGCTTTGTTAGGGACGGAAAAACCTACTGTAAAAGAGACTATATCAGGTAGGCGGCTTACCTCTATTTTTCTCTCTCTCTCCTCTCTCTTCGCAGTTAGGCTACAAAAATGAGCAGGCTGGTGCGGGGTGGGGGGGGTGAGGGCCCTCGAGGCTTCTGTATTGTGATCGCGTGTGGAGAATGTTGCTTTAATAACGGTAACACCAGCAGTATTCATCGTTGTTATGGTATTTTCTTTGTTTTCGCACAAAGAAAAGAGTGGAAACGGCAACCGAAAAGCGTGCGTTTCAGTGAAAGGCTCCTCCCCAAAAAAAATATGGGTTTAGATTAGGGGGTCGAACGTGTTTCAGGGAGTTCTCTGGATCCTCTTCCTTAAAACAGCCCAGTCCTGTGTATGTTTACTCAAAGTCCCACTCATTTCAGTGGGGTTTGCTCCTAGATCGCTGGGGATGGGGCTACGGCTTTGCTAGTATGTAGGTTCTGGTGAAGTCAGTGAGGTCCTACTGGACTCCAGTGACGGGGCAGTAAAGCTTCCTCCCCATGGTCACCCACGATTTCGGTGCAACTTCCTTCTAGAGAAGAGTCGAGCGGGTCCCTCCGCTTGCTGAAGGTGAGGTCTTCAGCGGGCCTGTCCAAGGTGTTTTCGTGAAGATTTCCTTCTCAAGATCGGGGTGCTGTTTAGACTCCTACCCCCTGGTTTTCGGTTCCCCCCCCCCGCCCCAGGCCTAAAGGCCAACCACTCGGCCAGAACTTCCACTCAGCTCAGTAGCTCTGCCTTCCCAGTCTTCAAAACGTCTTGAAATCCTGGACTTAGAAGGGGCGGCCTTATCTTAAAGATTAGCAAACCAGGGATCCCGGTAACGGGAAGAAAAGAAGCACAGAGGGGTTTTTTTTGGGGGGGGGGGTAACAACCGCGTGGCGCTGGCGCTAGACCGCAGCAGACTTTCTTTCTCCCCCATCCCCATTTAACTGTAGTGAACGTCGGCGTGATTGAAATAAAGTGGGTGGCCCCGGGGCCTGCTGGCCATACAGCCTCCCGGCTGGATGTGTATGATTTCATGTTTTTAAAAAGCTGTATTACAGCGAAGGGGGTTGGGAGGTGGACATTGGTCGAGCTGGAATAGGCCTTCTCCCACTAGGAGACCCTTCCCAAGAAAAAAAAGGAATAGCCCCGACCCTTCCTGAAATCCCGTAGGAAAAGGTCAGGATGGGCGCAGTGGTTCTTTAGGCGCTGCTTCCAGGAAGGACTGGGCGCTCAAAAGAGGAGACTTTAGGGGGGGGGAAAGGACAGGAACCTGACATTTAATCTTTTTAAATATTAACCCTTTGGGCGCTCTCGGTCCGCCTCGCCTCTTCTTATCTTATCTGCCTTGATGAATTGGACAGAGGAGATCAAATTGCCCCCTCATCTGTTGGCGAACAATCGGTACATTTAGATAATGGAACGGCTTCCTTCCGAGCCTCAAAATCTGGGCGCTGGTTAAAAAAAAAAATTGCAGGATTGGCCGCTCCTGACAGTCTAGCGAGACCCCCCTCCCCCCCTCTTTTTTTAAACGGGGGGTGGTGGTGGTGGAAAGAGGCGCTTTTATTTTCTTCCTGTGGGGAGAGGGGGGGAGAGAGAGACGATCTCCTCGGTGCTAGGCTACTGTGTAGTGCGGATTTGAACTCTCCCGGGGGTGGGGGAGTGGGGGGGCTAAGGTGGCAGGAACTCGCCAGCGCGGACACAATCCACGGGGGCAGTTCTCCTCCCGTAGATCCCTGAAAACAACTAGCAGGGAACACTTCCATTCGCTTGTCCCTAGGCCTGTTGGGGTGCGTGCGTGTGTGCGTTTGGCAGTGCTGTCTCTCACACGCAACCCCCCCCCCCCCCACCACACCCGGGTCTCTGTGAATGGCCCCCGAGGAAACACTGGGGCAGTTTTCTTCTGAAGGTTACTTTGTGGGGAACGAAGGGGCCTTTTCCTGTGGGGGGGGGGGGGGAGAAGGGAAAGGGGAAATGCGCGGGGGAGGGGCGCCGGCTGCCGAGTCCTCGGAAAGTCTTGCTGGGAGGGGGAGAAAGAAGCCCGCGTTGTAGGTAGCCTGCCGCCTTTGTCCCGGGGAACCGGCTGTGTCAGGCGTCGTGCCGGCCTCCGTTTCTCAGCCGCGGGATCTCTGGGCAAAGGTGAATCACGAGCCCGCTTGGTCCGGGAGACGGCCACGGAGGAGCGTTTGGCGAAATATCTCGGGTACTAGTTTTTGGAGAGGCTGCGTGTTTTATTGCTTGTTTATTGACGCGGGGCCCCCCCGCCTATCGCCTAGTCAGCTTACTCGTGAGTAAATCCCAGGGACAAGGGAGGCGTTTGTTACCGAAAACAGACGCTTAAGATTCCTGGACTAGAGCCCCGATCCTAAATCTACTGATTTGAAAGTAAACCTTAGTATTGATTTTTCAGTGGCTTCCGTGCAAATAAGTCAGGTTACAGCCTTGCTCGATGGCAAGGTCCACTGATTCCAATAGGACTTCTTGGCCCACAAGAACAGGGTTCGGATCGGGGTCTTGGTGAGTTATCCGGCCCTGACCTAGGTGAGGATTGGAAGGGGCCTGTTGTTTGCGGTGGCCTCGGATATTTTCAGGGGAGCTGGTAACTGAGGGCTGCATCCATTTACTCTGTTTAGTTTCCCTCTGCTCCCTTTCCAAAGGGAAGGCAGCCTACACGTCAAAAAGATGGTCTGCGCCCATACCTCCACTGTGGAATCGAACTAGGAACCCAAAGCTTAGCCGGGGAGACACCCCATCGTTGGGAGGGTAGGGTCCTAAAAGACAGGAGCCGGGCAGATCTCGATTTCTGTCGCTCTCCGAACTTTTTTTTTTTTTTTTTAGTGTTTCTCAATAGACCGCTCGGTCGATGCTCTCGACCCATCAACAGCCTTCGAAATTCCGCGGCGAAACTGGGGATTGTTTCTGTGGGGTTTTGTTTGTTTGTTTTTTAAAGAAAGTTGCCGCTGTCTCCAGGAAGCCTTGCATTCCCGAGCCGTCTATTCTTGAACCATCCCATTGATGCGCTAGTAGGCCTACTCTAGAGGAAGTCGGGTGTGTCGAGCAGTTAAAGGGATTCAGCGGGTCTGGAAGGGGGTGATAAGGAAGCGGAACTGATAAAACAATCGCGTTGCATTTGTGGGCACGTGTCTGAGGGAAATTCTTTTCTGCAAAAAGCCTGCCCAACTCAGCCCGGTGCAGTTGTCTTTGGGTACACCCCACCCCAGTGAACTTGCATCGCCTCGTATAAATGAACAGGCATAGGACTGGGCGGAAAGGCATAGGCACCAGGAATGGCCAAGGGATTTGCCATTTTGCCAAGAGGGAAGGAGCACAGACTCCAGCGCAGACAGACACCGAATAGCATTACTTGTAAGGCTACTTACAAGGAAGTGCGCTGGAACCCGGCGGCATTCTTTCGCAGTGGGAGGATGGATAGGCGGACAGACGGAGATGGGGGGAGTGAATATTTGCGCCCGCGGATGCTGCTATTTGGCCACCCTGGTTAGCTTCCCGCATGTATACTGTTAACAAAGGTAACGGGGGAGTTGCGGCAATCCTCGTGCTATAATCCAGGCGATAGGACAGATTCTCTCCCCTTCGTTTTCCTTTGCCTGGAGCTAGAAAGAGGAAAGGAGAAGAAAGGGAAAACAAGGGGAGGGACTGAAGGAAGAGGGTCTTCCCCCAAAATGCTATGTCTGGATTCCCCCCCCCCAAAAAAAAACCCCAACCACCACCGCCGTCCCTGGCGCGGGGTCCCAGAGTGTCAGCCGCTCTTTGCACGGGGGATCGGGGCGTCCTCGAACCCCCTTGGCTCTGGGCCGGTTTCCGAGCTCCTGGCTTTCCTGGAGGTGGGTCTGATGAGCCGAAGCGCGGCCAGATAAGCGGCGCGGTGGAGGTCGAGCCGGGCTGGCGAGTCTCGGGCAGGCTGCTGGGGGGGAAGGCGCGCCTGGCTGGCTTCGAAGGGGCGGCCGACGGAGTGAACTCTCTCTTGTCTCTCTCGCTCTCTCCTCCTCCTCCTCCTCCTCCGGCGGGGCCCGGCTCAGGTTATACGGCATCAAGTGCGCAAAGTGCAACATCGGCTTCAGCAAGAACGACTTCGTCATGCGGGCCCGCTCCAAAGTGTACCACATCGAGTGCTTTCGCTGTGTGGCCTGCAGCCGCCAGCTCATCCCGGGCGACGAGTTCGCGCTGCGGGAGGACGGCCTCTTCTGCCGGGCGGACCACGACGTGGTGGAAAGGGCCAGCCTCGGCGCCGGGGACCCCCTCAGCCCCCTGCACCCCGCCCGGCCGCTGCAGATGGCAGGTACTTCCCGCCCCCGGGGTGGGGGGCCTTCGGCTTCACGCCCCCAGGGGACCTTTGGCGGGGCTGGGAGATTGGGGGGGGGCCCCCGCTGGGAGGTCTGGGATGCGCCCGGCGCTGGACACCCTCGAGCTGTTCCTAGGAAAGGTGCATTTCTATCAGGTCCCCGTTGTGGCAAAGAATAATGTACGGAACTGTTGAAACACTATGAATACACACAACCTGCGGTCTTTTAGATAGCGATCCATACCGCTCTGCACAACTCGTGTCCAATGCTCCCTCTCAGCTGTGGAGTCTTGTGAGCAAAAATTCTGCTTTGTGAGCTCCTGGCATTAAAGTTGTGAGCGAGCGATTTGGCCACTGCATAGATTAGTTTGCTCTGGAGCCATCCTTCCTGAGCCACGACAAAAGTGCCTTCAAAATTTACTTAGAGGGAACACTGCTCCTGTCGTGTGGCGTTTTTGTCCCACCCGGGAAGGACAAGTAAAACCCGTGTTTCGGCTGAAATCGACTAGATTAAAAAGTAATCAGAAGTTGCTGGATCTTTTCCTCTCGTTTAGGAGACCTTAGTGACATCTATAGAGATGGATGAGGGCTTCATATATGCGTGGAATTGCCTCTTCCCTTCAAATCACAGGGACCCGATTTTGTGCGTGTTTGCTCAACAAGTAAATTTCACAGTTCGAAAGGGCCTTACTACCAAGAAATTGCCTAGAATTGCAGCCTTAGACGTACTTAATTTTGTCTGGTCTCTGTAATTTATTGTTGATCCAGTAGAGACCAATGAGAACTCCTCCTCTGTCTAAGGTGTGCTTAAGGTCTCGGCCCTCAGATACTCATTTCACATACATCTGTTGCTGGCAAAAATACTCTTAAACCCCCCGATCCTAAAATCGTACCTGGAACTCAATCCTAGGCATGTTGACTCTGAAGGAAATCCCACTGGTTTCAAGGCGACTGACTTCCCAGGAAGTGTAGGCCCTCCAGCCTTGGAAGGCAGCTCCACTGAAGTCAAAGGAAGTGAGTGAAGGAGGCATTTGGGCCGAAGCTGCTAAACTATATTAACTCCAGCAGTAACGGTGTAAAATGTCTCACTTAATCTACTGGTAATTTCCTTCTGAGTAAACTCGCTTGGCATTGAGCTCTATAGAGGTGTGTTCAGGATCGTGAATACTTGTAGGAATATTTCCACCTTTTGGAGTCGTCTTCCTTCCCGGACCGACTCGGAGGTGCCTTTTGAAACGGTGGGGGCTGCAGAGCCGCCTGGAAAACCGGGATGGGCTGAAATATACCAGGAGCTTTCTGTGGTATAGAAGGGTGCGTGTTACGACCTCCGGAGAGGATGACTTGAATATACCTGGAGGCTTAGTAGAAACAGACACATCCTCGCGTTTTGTGGGCGTGACTGTGTGTACAAGGCTAAAAGCTATCTGCCTTGAGCCGCAGGTATATCATCCCAATCAGGTCTTTACTCTTATCTAGCTTCTCAAGAAGTTTGGGGGGGGGGGGCGAGGGGGGCGGGAGAGAGATTAGAGGCTGGGGTGCCCAGTAGTGCCTGGCTTGCCTTTCTAGGAACCAGGCTGTAGTCTGATGCATGAGCACACATGGGGGGGGGGCGCACTGAGAATGTTTAGGATCCCCCTCATAGACACCTATAGGGTATTTTATTGGCACGTTTCCAAAGGGAGGGAGGCGATCCCCTTTCAAAGACAGGAAAGTTGGAAATAGAGGAGAGGGGGGGGTGTTAAAGAGGCTTCCTTTCTCCTGCCGAGGCCGGGCTACTCTCGGTCTGTTTCCACGACGTTTTCAGAATTTTGGCCTCGCTGGAATTAAGCGGGGTGGGGGTGGGTGGGGTGGGTGGGGTGGGAGCAGCCGATTTCCGAAACGAGGGAGACTAATAACGACACCGGCAAGCACCTCAAACTGTAATTTAAAACTGTCAACAAGCTAATCTTCTGTAATTGGCCTTCAAAGGGATTCTTCCTTCTCCCCACACGGCCCTCTGTGATTTGGGTGAGCATTTCAGCGCGGGAAACTTTAGAATCGACTCTAGGCATCTCTCTCCCCCCCACCCTATTTTGTCGCACTTTCCCGCAACCTCCGCCCCCTCTCGAT